CTGACTGCAGTTCAATTACTCATTACCTCTGTTGTCCCGTCACGTTGTGAACGTCTTATATATACAAGACTAACACATATCTAGTAAATGCTAGGCATTCTTGAAGGAACAGGATAGTTCTAGAAACAGGTGGCACGATACTAGTCACGTGACCTCCCTGACGCAACAATATTTTATTGAAGACATTGTTTTATTTGAGAAAAAAAATCTTAAATAATCAATGAAATATGAGTGAATATAGTTTTAAATATCTTTTCCTACAATTATATTTTACAGAAGCAACATGTTTCTGGCACATGTAGTGCAATAAATATTTTCAGTGTGTTTGTTAAAAATTTCTTTTTTTTTCATCATAAATATTTGAGAATTGATTTTTTGCAGATTAATATATAAACATTGACCTAAAAGCTGAATTTTTTCTAAATTTTTGCCAGGGGTGACCTGTTTTACATTTCTGTAACTGTGATGGTAATTATGACTAGAAAAATATAAAGATCTTAAGAAATGCACAAACAGACATAGAAAGGAACTTAAGAAACAGTATCTGCATAATTAAAAATAGACCTGTGTGTATAAATAGAGATGACAGACCAATCATTGGAATACATATTTAACTTAAGTAATCTCTTATTTATGATTTACTTTTCTTCCCCTTCTTTCCTGATCTTGTTTTTAAAAACGAACTCAAATACATAAATAAAACTGCATAGGTGACAAAGATATTGAAATTAAAGAATAGGTTGAACAATCACCAATTATTTTATATTTTTATTAAAAGATGGATGGTGTTTCGAGTCAGTGCTCTTTGTCACATTTTACAGCTTACAACAAATATGCATGTGCAGAATTAAAAGAAATTGCATGTGTAGTATTTGGAACGTGGAGCGTGAAATTTCTGTGCAATATTAAGTCTTATACATAAATATTACAAGTCAAGAAAACACAAAAGAGATTGAAATTAAAACTGAAGCAAAATATGGAAAAATAAAGAGAATCTAGTAGGAAAGAAAAGCGTTCATTTAAACCAGATGGACGTAAGGTACCCAGATTGTAGATTAATCACCTTTACAGTCGTTCTCTTTTGTGAATGTCTGTTGGAGCACTAATAAGTCCAAGAATTGGACTTTATGGTTGTTGATGGTGAAATGTTTGTCTATAGGTGTATCTCAGCTCTGCAGTTTAATAAGGCTTAGATGTTCTTGTGCTTGATCACTGAGTCAGGAGCCTGTTTGTCCAATGTATAAACTATTGCATTTTTTACAAAATATACAGTAAATGATACATTCAATGGCACATGTAAAGGACTGTGTTATGCCAAAAGTTGTGTTTCCTTGTATATGTGTACTGCTGTTTATATGTGGGCATGTGACATGCCTGTTTTGTTTACACGTGTGTGAGTGCTTAGAGTGTCATTTTGTTTTTAAGGTTACTGTACACCAGGATTTCTTTTACATTTTTGTCATGTCTGTAAGAAATAATGGGTGGGCCCCTTTAACTTTTAAATAGTTTGAAACAAAGAGATGACACTGTTATAAAACCAGCCTTAGTAGTTTGGCACAAGGATTTATATATAACTGAAGCTTTGAAACAACTTAACAACAGTACTTTCTACACCCCTCTTCAAGACAACCCAATTTCTGACTTCAACAGCCCAGTAACATTTACAATTCAATATATGACTGATGCTGACAAATGCAGAATCTCATTGTAAATGAACTTCAAATTCCCACTTTCTATTTACTCCCTAAAATCCATAAAGATGAATATCCGGGCCGACCCATTGTATCTGCATGCAGTTGCCTTACAGAGCAAATTTCTAGTTACCTTGACAAAGTTTTATCACCATTTGTCATGAATTTACAAACATACATAAAGGACACTACTCGTGCCATTTCTTTAATCAAGAACACACACATTTAACTGAAAAAGAACATTACACTTCACCATATAAAATAATTGTACACACAGTGAGGATTTAATTGCACTACAACATTTCTTAGACTAAAGACCCATACTGGTCTTTCCAACACACACACACACTTCTTCGTTTAGCTGAACTTGTACTTACATTTAGTGCCTTTACTTTTAATGGTAACTACTACAAACAAATCTGCAGAGTCACTATTGGGACTAAAATAGGCCCCACCTGTGCCGACCTCTTTGCTGGATACACTGAAAATCTTATGTTTAATCAATACTATGGATCGGTACTCATGATGTATCATTGCTACATTGGTAACATACTATGGATTGCATCCATACCTAAATCAGATTCATAAAATTTTCTACACTTTTGTTTCCTCTTTCCAACTTTCTTTAGAATTAATTTTCGAAATATTTGACAGTACACTCCCCCTTTCTCAACATTAACATATGCAGTGCTGCCCTCTATATGCCAAAAAATTATGCATGCCACAAGCCTTCTATCTCCCCTCCATTGGGATTGAATGATTCCAATGCATCTCTCATGCAAATCATCATGCATCAAACCTCCACCAATAAGAGTGCAACATACTCTCATGATGCACGTGACTCCCTCTATTCAATTCTACTGAACTATCAGTTTCGAGTTTTGGCAGAAGATGCAAGCACTGGTTTTCAGTGGGGATGAAGGATGGGAAGTGTAAATGGAGGTAAGTACCTATCAGAAATACATTTTCAGTGTAGGAAAATTATAACTTCTGATATGGTACATTACTTCCGCTCACATAAACAGCTAGAATCCCACATTGAATAGATGGAGGGACTGGTGCAAAGAAAAAAAAAGAAGCATCCTTCAAAAGCATCTGAAGGATACTCCCTAAGATGAGACAATCAGATTCTAAGATCTAATGCGGGGAACTGTACCACTTCTGAACTAGGTATACTCTTCCCTCATCATAGAAAGATGTTGCAATATGGGGGGAACAGAGGAGCACATTTAATTGGGAGAGAACTATGGCTGGAAAGTGATCCAAACCATGCAATATTTATGAAACTCAATCCCAGAAGTTATAAAAATGGGTAAAATGAAAAGAATGTGCCCCCAGGTGTAGAGTGGCTAGGGTGTAATGGATCCCTACATGGCAAGTCAACCACATCCAAAACCCATGCTGCTCGGAACCAATATCCCCGCAGGGGTAGGATGAGGATTGTACCATTGGTAAGTCAACTACAATCCAAGACTCAGGGCAATGGAAACAGATATCCATGTGGGGGTAGGAAAGAGGATCATACCATTTTATCCTCCAGTTCATGGGATAATCTAGTACACCCCGACTCATGAATGGAGCACATAGGAATGATAAATTTATAGATCGATCCGGGAACCGAACATCCGGCATTGAAAAGATGTCTACATAATGTAAACCAACTTCCTCAAAGTGAAATTGACTGGAACCACCTTAAACGCATAAACATCCTTGGAATAAGAAACACTGAGTGACAGTGGAATGGAAAAAACTGTAACAATCTGCAATTACCTCCACCATGAACCATAACACTAATGAAGTATGAATGAGGGAAGGAATATAGACATACGTAAGACATGTGTGAGGACTTGTGTTGATTGGTTCTGCTATAAATCCAAAACCCGGCCACTGGGAACCAACATCCACGTGAGGGTAGGATGAGGGATCCTAATCAAATTTTGACGTCTCACTCACATTTGTTTTTATGTTTCACAGTGGAGGATATCACATCATCTATACCAACAGAACACCACCACCCTACTCTCAACTGAATGATTTTATAATGATTTATATATTTTGTTTGTATTTCATTAACCCATTCATGAGGATAC